TAAAGCGTCAGAATGGTTTCCTTGGCTTTTGGTCCCATTCGAATTGGCAAATATATAAACCAGATATAAACGTGATAATGGATATGTTTGTTCAATTATAAAGCCTGGGTTAATATNTGTAGTTTAAGTGCACTATTAAGAGCACTTTCTGTCCTCTCCTTAGCGTTTTTCTTAGGGGCGGAATATCATAGAACAAGATCATCTGCATAAAGTCAGCACTTAACGCCCGTGACTGTCAGTACCAATTTGGCTATGTCATTGATGAAGACATTGAAAAGAGTGCAGCTTGTGACAGCTCCCTGTGGAAAACGAAAACGCCGAAAACAGCCGTAAGGGTATTTCTTGCATCAAGGGCATCTTTGATGTGTTGGGAGAGAGTGACTACTTGTTGGTTCGTTGATCTTTGTGGCCTAAAACCTGCTTGTTCACTCCTAAGAATATTGTTAGTCTCAAGAAACCAGGTCAGCCTCCTGTTAACCCTTCTTTCCATAAGTTTAGCCAGCACGCTTGTGAGGGAGATAGGCCTATAGTTGTCAAAGTTGCTAGGGTCTTTGCCCTTTTTTAGTACTGGAATTAATATGGCAGCTTTCCATTGGTTAGGTACGAGACCGGTCCCCAGATTTTGTTGTAAAGCGTCAGAATGGTTTCCTTGGCTTTTGGTCCCATTCGAATTGGCAAATATATAAACCAGATATAAACGTGATAATGGATATGTTTGAGGCCGAGTGTTCTATTATAAAGCCTGGGTTAATATAACCGCGAATGATCAGCATCCCAACGGCACCCCAATTAGTCATCGACACAAAAAATGAACTTTTAGGTAGACATGGGTACCACGCCCAAGTATTCCACCGTCTAAATGTTCAATTTTCGTGGTGTAAAATTATGGACCTTGTTATATATGCAGTTTTCAGCGATCCACAAAGGCATCTTTCAACATTTCTCTCTTCTGTAAGCATGGTGAGTTTATGGGTTATTAAGTGATAAATTATGACATGCAATATTTACCTATCGACAGTTGACTATCTACGAAAGTAACGGGGCAGTAGTTTTCCACATTTAGCCAATATTCCATTTTTGAGTTTCCTAATGATTAAATGATAGTTTGAAGCCTAATTTTTAAAGCTTGCTCTAACTAAAATGAATTTCGTGCCGTTTCTTGGCATACTATTTACATTGTTGAAATATCAGATATTTTCCAAAGCTCTTAGCAATAGGCATCTCAAAAATCAAAGATTATTTTACGTGAATGCTAAACTGGAACATTTTGAGCAGAATAAAAAATTCTGTTATGCAATTAGACGATTTTCAGCAAAGCTTGTGATTCCCTTAATAAAATTACTTTCGACTAAATTGAATTTATAAGAAAGTGATTATACTGTGGCACACCCCATCGCATCCACTCACGCCAGGACTCGAAGGTGCGGCCGTACAACCAGTGACTAATCGGAAGCCTCCGTCCGTTTAAACTAATCCGTGATACCAATTAAGATTAAGCTCCCTGTGTGTACACTCTACCCACATTCTACTTACTGAATGTTTTCCGTGCGATACGACTGTTTCCTCTATAGCTGGGCCATAGCTAAGCCAGTTCTGGGAGTCCAGTCAGATGTAGTAGAATCTGCCATAGAGATTTCTGAGTCAGTCAGGCTTTACTAGTGTAGCAATCTGCTACAATACTGTTTCTTCAAGCCGTTTATCGACAAATAAAATAACCGGTCTTTGGGGTTGATTCAGTAATTCCATCTGTTTGCATATAAATCTGCACAAGTGTCATAGAGGCATTATAAAACTTTATTCTATTTTTCATTGAATACGAAGATAATGACTTTTAATATATTTTTAACTAGTATAAGTAATGAATAACAACTACAACCTGACAAAAAATGAATTAAAAAAATTTGCAATACAATTTGAACATTTTAGATGTGAAATGTCTTGAAAATATACAAATATAAGACATATTAAAATTTGATACGCATTAAAATATTATCAAACACTAAGACATTATTCCGAGTTTTGTACATTTACTAGACACATAGAGGAGATTCCATCTTCGAAGCTATTATTCACGTTATGTGTTGTAATGGTAAAGTATGCATGTGAAATGGAACTGAGAGGAAAAATTTATTAGGTGAAGTGGATAAATTCTTATGGAAATTGAGATTACGCATGTTATGCGCAATGCACATAAATCTTCCATAATATGTTCGAGAATCAGTCTTTATGAGAAATGGTCTGTTTTGGAGAACAAAGAACGGATAAAAACGCAGGTATATGTACAGCATACGTTGTAGGTACGGAAATTTGTGTTATAAGAGTCAGAGTGCCTAAATGCGTTGAACGGCGTTGAATGATGGAATGAAATACGTTGCTTTTCGAATGGTGGCCTCCTACCAAGTTGAGAATGAATGAATATTTTATTTCCATTAGGATTCAACATAAAAGGTGAACATTTATCCTTGGTCAAGTGAAACCACTCTGTTTGGCACAAACATAATCTAATTGAAACGGAATTGTTATGGTATATTTGTTTTGAACTTCCGTTAGTTATAGCACAAAATTGCATCTTTGGGGAATTCAAACAAAATAAAATCATGAAGCATAAATGTTTGGCGGATTCCCTGTTTCCAGTTTGCAACGATTAATAAGGACTTCTAGTAAACATCTCCCAATATCTTTGAATTAAATGGTGTTAGTTCCTTTGATATTAATTGACATATCTACAGAGTACTGACATTATGTTTCTTTAATGATTGCCAATGTGATGTATTAAATATGCTAAAATATAAGGGTATCTTATAACTCAAGAACGGAAGATGCATCGACGCTTCGTGAAATATTTATAAATTTATTGGGTTTGAAGGTATTTATCTCAAATTGCATGCCATTTTAATAGTAATCATTAGCTCTTTAGCTGATTTCAGGCTTCAGAGAGGAGGAGGAGGGGGAACATCAAAGTGACCAAATGTGGGAAAAGCGGGAGACAGAGAAATAATCCACAGATGTAAAAGAGACAGACAGGCACAAATGTTGAGTGAAAGGTAAGGTGAGATCCGCTAAAATGGTGCAATATGGCATACAGTGGGGTGATGGTAGTTAGTAGTCAGAAGCCATATGAATAAACGTCGCCCATGGAGCACCACGTGGAGGTAAGTCTATCGCACACCCCGGGTTTGAAGGTATTGTTGTATAGTCGTTAACAATTTGCAATATAAGTCATCATTTAAATAACTTTGAAATATGTATAATTATAAGAGTGTAGGTATGTGTAAGGTACAAACATGGTTGAAATATTGATATATTTCAGTCTGCTAAAACTGATAACGCCCTCGCAGGTTCAACACGTGGGCTTAAAAATCAACGATCCATATATTGCGGTTAAGGGTTTTGAATTAATACACTGTGGCATTGGCCCTATTCATTACTTCACGCTAGTTGCAACTATCATACTTTTGGTGTTAGAAGTCTGCAAAACATTTCATACAGCGGTTGATGCAATTGCTTCTCTCTTAACATGTAATGAATTAGCCTATTTTAGTCAATAATATCAATATTCTCAATTTGTTTGATATTGTCACCTCTAAATAACTTCATTTGCATTCCGATTTCAGACAAAATGGGAAACAATTCACCTCTCTGCTATTGTTGTTGTCGGATGTGCTCCGGTCTATGCAAAGTAATTGCATGGTTTATCGTAGTGATTGCCGTGATTCTTAAAATTATTGGAATTTTTATGGTCCGATATTATCCGTCTGGACATTCAGATTCTTGGGACAGGTATTTATTTTATTTGCATTTATTTTTTTTTCGAAAAGTTTTATTGAAGAATTTTGTACATGCTCTGTGCCTTCTTTCAAATTGCATGAAAATTGGTTTATACATAAAACATTTATGACAATCAAGTTTAACGATGTTTTACAATTTAGTTGGATCAAAATTTTATAAGATAATCGGTGGAAACTAAAAAGAAATTAAATACAAGTTTTTTTCACACCACTTTTAATTTTTAAAAGCAAACGCGTATCAATTATTAACAAAGTAGAAACAAACGCATTATTATCTATTATCCATGTATGGATGATTGTTAAATTATTAGTTTAACAAAAGTATGATCAAGTTTTTATTCATAACTTATTTTTTTAGGAAACGCTATGTGGGCATAACTCTAATACTGACAGCAATCATCATGTTCATCGTTAGTATCGCTATGTTCTGCTGTGCTTATGGAGTGAATATTTGCAAATGGTGCAAGAAGAAGTCACATGGTAGCGGCCAACAGATCATAATAATCCAAGGCCCAGTAAGTTTTCTTGCACATTTAAAACCCTTTGAAACAAATACGTTTTACCGACAAATTATATCAAGTAGTTATTTGAAGTCATGCAAAGTCATAGTCGTTTCTTTACTAACTTAAGGTTGGTCGATATAATTGGTTAATTTTATGAATTACCCACTACACCAAGTTAGAAGCGTACTGTTTAGCGTTTTATCTTCTTTCATTTCGCTACCAATGAGTAATTAGTAACTTGTGTGACCTTGAGGTCAGTTTTAGTGAGGCCCTCAATGAGAAGATATTGAAGGAAATTTAATTAGTAATACGCGCTATTTGAAATGATCTATTCCAATTAATATATGAGCAATTTTTAAACATTACTCCATTGCATGCGCTTGTAATAGATTGCAATTTCTCTCATATTTCGCAGTTTTCAATGGCAAATTTGTGAGCGTATTATGGTCATCAATTAAGCCAAATGGTGAAAAAAATATTCTTTTTGATTCTAACACACACACACATACACATATACTAATTTGGGTTGAAGTAATTTTCACAGTCACCTTGTGAGATCACAAAGGAGAAACTATGGAGTCACCGTTGACCAGACCAAGTTCGAGCTTTCGCCTTGAAATTTTCAGCGAATACTTCTAGTTTAACTGGAATTTTCTTAAAATGATAAATAATTCTAAAAGCATTTTCAATACTACAAGTGAAATTTGTCAATTCTGTATCACTCTTTATTAGCCGTTTAAAAATATTGATGAAGAATTAGTTGGCTGTCACTGACCTATATGATACTACAATTAAACTGAACTCATAAGTACCAAATCCATTATCATAATTTGACCTTCAATATAATGTATTTTGCATTTACTTGATCCTGATCTTGATCTGTCTTGGTAACTTGAAATATTGCATCATTATTTGAACGTTCTAGCCTTGATTATGCTGGATTTATGTACCTCTTTCCAATCACCCCCCTTACACAATCCATATTTACATCTTTATTGAGTAAATACCGTATGATTCTTCTGCCTTGTGTAAATCGAAAATACACCCTAGGTTTAGTTGCTAGGAGGGTCAGTGTTTATTCTTGAATTTATGGAAATAAAACAGATATTTTTTCTTGTAGCCACAACCATCACCACAACCGGCAGCTCAGAACGTGCGTAAGTATAATCCACCCCCACCCCCACCACAACCTTCACCGGGACAATTACCGCATCCATTTGGACAGCAATATTTTCCTTCACAACAACCACTAGGATTCCCAACTGTTCCGCAGTATTGGTCTCAATCAAACCCTAATTTCAATAATCCACAATACGGACCATCATCTTTTACAAATTCTCAGTTTGTACAACACTACGATCTATCGCAACCATCCCAGAATTCAGGCTTTCTTTCACCTCCACAGCCGAATCAGCTAACATTCTATCCTACTCACCAACAGCCAAACCCAGTACCATTAGATGTTCAACAGAAAGTGAATCTGCCTCAACACCCACCAAGCTATGAACATTAAACATTTGATGACGAATTTTAAGTTCCTTTTTGATGGATGGTAATACAAGCCTTGAGAGCAATTAGTCCAAATTTTGGTATGGATTATTAGAAAAATTGTTGCATTCAATATTTACTTTTGGCTAGCATGATAAGTGAATAAACGATGGTGTTGTTAATGTCTTGATAAATTTCAATAAGTAGGTTTCTAACGACTAGTCAAATTGTGAATAATGGCAAAATTGTAAATGACCTGGCAATGTAAATATCAATGATAGTGTTGCAGATATGAAATTTTTCCAAAGTAAAGCAATTTAAAAGATCTTCAAGACGTGATAGAAAGTAATATAGAGTGGCGTTTCTTGTTATACTATTCAGTTCTTATAGAATGCTTATTGGCCTAATAATTAAAATTAAGAAAGTTTAATATATTTAAGATTTAATCCGTTAAAATCTAAAATTACGGCTGACGTCAATTTAAACCATACTATAATTTAAATCAAACAAACTTTTGTTCGCATATTTGATTTCGTACTTCCATTTGATAAGGCGAGAAAAAAATCAATTTTTTGAGTTTATAATTGCAAATATTTTTATTATATAATTGTTATCTTAAAGTATCTATTAGTTATTTCGGTTTTTCATGTAATAGGGTGATGAAAGGGTTAATTTTATCAAAGTAATTAAGAAGTTATGCTCCCACTTTCTTTTGCAATTAGTGTTTGGCTACCAGTAAAGTCACAATTTTATTCACATTTTCGAAAATAAACTTCATAAACTAATGAAGCGCCGAATCGATTTTAACTGAAACTCAGATAACAATCACATTGTTATTATTATTTCAAAAGGCAGGCTTTGAGATATTTATCATTAGCTCTCAAACTTTGACTTCAGCTTTCCTCAAGTTGGGGGGGGGGGTATATTTATAGCAGTTAATCAATACCAATTCATTAGCCATCTTCTTGCTTCCCAGTATCTCTGGATTTCCGTCGTTGTCTTTAGGGCTGGACATCGAGTCAGGTGGGTCTTCTCCATTTACTCCTGAATGTCACATAGAGGGCATGTGGGTTGAGTGTATACCTCCAATCTGTGAAGATCTTTTCCCAAGCAATCGTGTCCGGTACGTAGTCTAAACTCAGCAACGGCTTCGATTCTTGGCCAGTCGGGTATGTCGGAGAGTGCTATTGTCCACCGTCTCGCCTTTGTTCGAGCTTTAATTTCGTTCCACCTTGAGGTATGGAATT